AGGAGTGTTTTATCAGATATAAAGATCCATGCATGTGACCAAATAGGCTCATTCTATTGGCCTAGTAGCTCATTAATTATGTATGAGTTTTTGAAAAGTCGTTTACAACATTCGCACTCATGTTGTAAACTATACATACAATGCGGCCACTTATCTTGTAAATATTACTTTTCCAAATATTTCAAAACTTTGAAGTAAATTAAATGTAACATGTAACACATTCAATTAAGGCTTATCTCAGAATATAATATCATTTCAATGCATTTTACAAAATGTACCTTTGCTTCCAAAGTCAGGTTTCTGTCAATGTCTGTTGATATGATTGTCTTCTCTGATCTCTGCTTCAATTCAGGTTTTATAAAGGTGTAGTAGTCTTCAAGAAGCTGTACAAAACAGGTAAAAAACCCGTCATCATTTGTTAGACTAATGCACTATAAACTGTACTGGATGAGTCAAATGTAGTTCAAAGTCCTCTGCATTAATTAACAATAATATGTACCAAAAATAAAGGAAATACATCTAGTACATTCATGAAGCTGCAATATGTTTTTATTCAATTTTTAATATCACTATCTAGCTGCAATTTTAAAATATATTACAGCACTTGTCTAATAACAGTGAATTAAATAAACAGGATCCCTGTGTATAATGGGTTCCCTGTGCTCTTGTAACATGTGAGAAACGTTGTAACGAGTAAGGCCATTGTTTTAATACAAGTTTATCTGGTTCAAGCCAAGTAGGGTTAACTAATAAATTAGAACACATAACATTGAGCCAGAGTGCAATCAGTACATTCAAGGATTAAGCATTATATAGACATGCATGTAACAGCAAATTAGCAGTGGTACTGGTACAATATAATAATATACAGTGTCTGTATAGTGAATTAAATATCTGATTAGGGATTAGGCTCCCAATATGTATAATGGGTTCCCTGTGTTCTTATAAAATGTGTGGAACATAAAAGGTGTTGTTTTGATTACATTGTGTTATAGTTATATATCTGCTTCTGGTTAACTAATTAATTACTATTGTCAACATTGAACATTGAGCCAGAATACAATCAGTACTTGAGTGTAAGCATCATCTATAAACTACACTATTTTGTAATGTAATGTTATTGCAATTGTTTTCGTTAATTAATCAACCAGGCCRCTACAGAGTATTTTCCCCGATTCCAAAACAACATTTCACTCCTTCTATACTTAGAGCAGCTGTGTGACTARTCTGAGCCACTGGAATCTTTAACAAATTCATTGACAGTTTCTTGTGGTATGACCTCTTAATTATTTACCACRGTKGGCGCCATCGCATCCTCAAATGCAATTCACTTWGTCTCGTGGATGAACAACAATATYGACCATTCCATTACATCAACCATGGTAAAAAATGAGKGCACAAGAAACTATCATCTATTTTTTTACCACAAAAGAAAAAAAACATTCTACATGACAAGAAGGTAAATGAAAAAAAAGAACATCTTGTGATCATGGTATATTGTACTATTATTAACCACAGGTCTTGACATATTGAAAACCGAGAAAATGGACAACTACTGTGGTAAAAAATACAATATACAATGAGGAAATAGGAACCAAACTGATGAGACTTTTAAATTAAAATAAGCTTATTTAAGCTTATGTATGCCAATCGAAGTTTATATCATACACATAATAAAGAAAGCGAGAGCAAAACATTGAGATAGTGTAAGAATAAGGCAGTGCAATACATAGCAATGCCCTGTATTAATTTATTGTCAGTTACTGTAGCCTATAAAACGAATGTTACACTGTAAAAACCGGAAGTGGAAATAGATCTAACAACATTATAAGCTTATGACTTCCAAAAGCTGTGTGGACGACATTTCGACAAAGAAAAAAATACGAAAATGAAATCACAAACTGTAATTACCAAACATGAAATGAATGGAATACTCACATGTTTATGCAACACGAAGCCATGCTTGTCAGCCAACTCCTTTGCGTCGTGGAGGTCGCCGTGCAKCTTGACGGCCCAAATATTCGTGTACGCATCGCTAGATGTCACACTMTCGGCGTACAATAAGACCAAGCACCAAATAAATAACATTTCTAGTGTTACCTAAATGACATATTATGTCTTATTCGCTATAAAATAGTTTGAATTTGCCAGCTGCAAACGCAGAAACGTATCAAAGTACGTTGCATGACCATACAGACCACAACAGTGTCAGACGTACGTACTGAGCATGCGCAAATGAATTTTTCAGTCCCGCCGCATATATGATGTCACATCCTCATTTCACAATCGATTTCCACGAAAAAAGTTTGAATTCCACGTAAACCGGAAGTGGATTTAAATAATACTGGAATAAACTAAAAAAAATGAGGAATCTAGAAATGATGTTAGAAAAAAGAAATTGCAAAAGTTGAAGATAAATAAATGGATGAAAACCTGTAAACCCAGTTATTAAATCGATTAAATTGCTCTTGCATGAAAATGGCCTTATTTCAAAACTTCAAGCAATACAAATATATGACTCATTGATATCTACTTATAAAAATTGCGGGAAAATATATGTTTTGGAATTATCCCACATCAGATAAATTTTGATTCAAAAGATGGAAGAACAAAAGAATGGAATAAATGACGTCATCTACTCCAACATTTTTTGTCCATATTGAATCGCGAAATTAAAGCCTYGCGAAAATTGGTACGAATAAGGTAGGTGATTTTTTGGCAGCGATGGAGCGGTTTAAACGTACAACGGTTTTTGAATAATTCGTACGGCGGCGACGAATGCAATTCTGTCAACCAACGGGTTTGGAGTATTTGTTAAACCACAGGTAACCCAGGCTCAATAACTTTAAAAAAAAATTAACATTTAAAAAAATTAATTTTACTATAAAGAACCAGCAACGTGACTCTCTTTACAAGATTTGGGGGGGAGGGGACGGGGGAGGGGGACACGAAGAATTTATCCATCAAAATGCAAGCAAGTACTAAGCTGAACATTTGCCAGGCAGAGAAAAAAATCGATGAATTAATTATTATTTATACCTCAGGTTCGTAACTGACGTTGTTGTATTTTGGTATCAACTATATCTAGGAGGGACTAGGAGGTCTATATGTATGTGACTAGGAGGTGATATGTATGTGACTAGGAGGTGATATGTATGTAACTAGGAGGTGATATGTATGTGACTAGGAGGTGATATGTATGTGACTATTCATCTTGAGTATCAGAGGATGGTTTAATGAAGGTAGAGCAAGACACACCCAAAGGACCACTTTCAACCATATTGAGAACATGAGCTAGTGCTGCACTCCTAAATGTTCCTACGGTGAATATAGTTAACAATTAACGATCCTGGAATTAAAAAACAACAAAATCGCAACCAAAAACTGACAAAAGTCCAGACAATCAGACGTGTGTCCCCACCGGTGGGGGACTCCCTAATAAAAAAGGGCGGGACTTATCGTCGGAAATTCTGAAAATATAATGACCCGTAAAAGGGACCTGTATTGTGAGATGATGGGCGCGGCAGTGCTGAAATTTTACCCATAAGAGGGACCAATCAATATCAGGTCACTTTGTTTTGTTTTCCCGATTTTATTTATATTTCTGCACAAGCATCAAATACCGTCGGCTCGTATTGAGATCAATCATCTAATTAGCAGTCGTGATTGTTGTTGATCTTACAATGACGGCTCACGGTCGTGACTTCATAGAAATATGCATGTCTTGCCTGTACAGCTAAGCCTCTTTTATCTTGCATTGCGTCATACATACATATATATAATGGAACTTCGACAGAGACTTATCATAGAAAAAGGCATTTCCTTCTTAATTCGTGCTTCAAAAATACATTTTTTAACTCGTGGTAATATTTYGAATCCCTGATTACAATGAACGGTTTTCAACAGTGTTAGACTCCTAAAAACTCGGCTAAATTGTGTACAGGATAAGCCAAGACAAAATCAAATATGATTTTTTTTATATTTAATAAAAATACTTTTACAATATTATTAATTGAAATTATCTAGTATGAAGAATCTAAATAGAACAAGATTGAAGTCAGGGGTAACGCAGGGTGCACATCTTCTCGATGTCAGAAAATGGCGCGTTTACACTTGCGATTTGTGCAGCGCGATAATCGGCACTTTGCTATCGCGCAACTCAAATCGTTTTTATAAACAGCCATGAGATTGTTGCGGCGATGAAAAATTGCCTCGAATTTGCAGCCAATTCGCAGCATGTTCGAAAGTTAGGCGATTGTCGCGCGACGTTCACCGCGAGAAGCGCTCTGCAAAAATCGCAAGTGGAATTAAAAAAAGAACAAGAAACCACATTTTGATAGAAAGCATGCACTTTAAAAGACAAGGTTGCTGTGGACGTCAAAACAAAGCTTCCTAAGGAAATTATCGTGAAATAAAATTTCACCCGAAATGGCTGCCATGCACTAATCAAACAGGCATCTGGTAATTCTTCGTTGTCAAGTTACGTCACAGCGGTCATCTTTGAATAACTTAAACAAATAATTTCTAATTGTTATCTATTGATCATTGCTCCAACATGGCTGCCGGTCTTGTATCTTTTGGATCTCATGGGTATGGTAGTTAACGGTCAATTTTATAACAAAGTTTGTTTAGGGCTCATAATAATGGATCTCTTTACTTTTATTGTTTTAACAGTTGAGGCAAAAGAACACTAATTATCAAGGAAATTAAAAAAAATTGGATACGAGGTAAAGAGGTCTTTTTTGACATGAT